AACCACAAGCTTAGTTACATCTACATCTCTTTCATAGAAGTATTTTATTTTTATGGCTTCGTCAGCGGTTTTAACTTTGATTAATAATCATGCACTTCTGATTTTTTTGAAAACTTTACTTTTAAAACTAAAATACATCAACCCTTAAATATCTGCTGAGAACATATTCATCTTTTGACACTATCAAAGTATGATGAACCTTAGAAGTCCTTTGGACGGATTTTCATCTCAGACCTCTTAACAGATTTATAATTTTTTTTCCAGTGATACCACGCCATTCCTTTGCCGTCATTTTTATTATTCATGTAGAGGCCATTGAGGTTTGAGAAATGGCAATTCTTGTACCACCAAGCGCCCGTATACATGGAGGCACAGTTTCTTGAGTCGGCGTCATTATCTCGATCTTTAGTGGTGAATGGTAAGCCGCGATGATAACTGAGAGAATCACCAGCCGTGCCTGAAAAAATGTATTTTCAGTGAGAATTTTATGATAATGTGCCTGAAAAAGTGAAGATTGAAACATTTTGCATAATGAGTGTAAATTTCCTAAACAGCAATAACCCTTAAGTCTTGGAAAAATGTCTTCGCTACAATCGTATTTAGAGAAATCATTTTGAAATAGAGAAAAATATGACAAAACACTTTACTTTTAACCCTTTTCCTCCTTTTCTACAGATCAGTATTGCCGACGATATAATTATTCTTACACCGTACAACTGCTTTACTTGAGTAACGTTACTTACTAACACCACTTTTAGATTAAATCAGTTTCACCTGAATAAACTCCTAAACCCAGCAGGTATTTCGCCCTTTCGCTTGCCACAGAAAATGAACTGTACTCTGCAAACGCTGTTTTACCATGAAGGTCTTCCAAGTCAACACGAAGCTTGTTACTGCTCCTCGCAGTCAGGCGGTGAATCTTGTCCAGTCCGAGCCAAAACTCGCCGTTCAGATTGCCGAAGCCCTGTTTGTAGACATTCCAGCCTCGGAAAAAATCTACTGCACCACCATATCTCTTTTGAAACACCGTCCATCCTCCACCGGCTGTTGTCTGATCACAGAAGACTTCAAATTCTCCCAAACCATCAGGATCGATTTTGTATACACCACTGATCTTGTCGCCTGACTTGTAAACTTCGGCGCAGTTCTTATTAACAGCTGAAAAAAAAGAGAGAAAGCGAAACCGAATGAGCACCAAGTCAACTAAATCGTCTTCGTTCAATCTAATAATAATTTTTCCCACCAACCTTTCCCATCTTGCTTCTGACAAGTTTGGTTCTTCTTTATGTTTCGGATTTCTTGTTCAAGTTTGGTCAGTTGTTGTTGAATGTTGGAAAACATATTTTCTATTTTCTTGGAGTTGGGACCAGCGTAGAAATAGTTATTATTGACACCAAAATGCGGATGGTGTTTCGTATCGTTATCGGTTCTTGCTGGTTTAGACGACAGTTTAGTCGAGTTCGAAAGCGCCGTCACGAAAAAACAGAAGAGAAGAACTTCACAGAGATATTTCATCGTGAATCTTTGTCCAAAAACTTGCTCCAAGTGCAGGTGATTGCTATAACTGATCCACTGAAGGAATGATTTTCAACACTGAACCGAGTATTTCGAATGTCTGTGAACAACCTTTGTTATTCGAGCCTTCCAACAAGATTTTTCGCGTGTCCACATTCTATTTTAGTCATAACACTCATGAACTCATTACAATAAAGTGTCACTATTGTTTAGCCACCGTGCTTCACTAAATTTGTTATTCATAATTTGCCCATTTACTCAGCGACCGGCATCGTTCCTAAAGAACGACGCTGACAAATTAATTGAACAAACATGTGTTCATCAATTACCTTGGGAGAAAAACTCCTATTACTGGAGTTTGGCCGATTAAGGTCGAGAGAAGCATAGCGTCTGAACTGGGCTAAGAAAATTGGATAGTCAACATCATAGTCTCATATTTACATTTTCGCTGAAAACAAACTGATCCTAGTAAACATTGCATGATAAAGAAAGTGATCGTTTTCTAATGGTTCGAGATTGAATTCACTAGAAATGATAATTTTTGTGATTCTGCGGAGCCAATAGCTGACAGTAGTTTATCGAATGACTTTTCACGCAAGAAGCTTCACAGGTGTATCAAATACAGGAAGGGCAACTGAACTGCATGACTGAAGTTGGGTCTTTGATCAGTGAATGTCGTTCACTGGCTGACACGTTTGTCAGTCTTGACTGAATAGCTGCAAAATTGATAGGCCATGTAATACATCGCTACTGAAGTAGTCTGCGAGTAGGCCCTTATTATTATTAGCGCTGCGACACAAGCGTTCCTTCGCCCTCAATTAAGTGAACTGCCTTAGGAGAAGCGAGCCTGCGAGAGGTCTGCAAGGGGTCTGGCACAAGTACCAGATCACCCTCTGGCTAGCGTTTCTCAAGCCTCGCCCTTTTGCGGAGGCCAAGAAATTTACGTATTGAGGCGCAAATAATGTTCGCAGACTCAGTCATACCCCAAAACAAAGGAATTAAAGTAAAAGGAGAGGCAAATTAATAAAAATAATAATAACAAAAATTAGGTTATATGGCCGGATGTTTCCATGAGGCCGAAACTACAAAAATTTGAACAAACAAGTTTACTGCGACTGGACTGATACATGCATGACAGGTATTGCGCCCACTCTCCAAGTCTCTAGTTCATTCAAAGTGATCATTTTAATGGATAAAACAGGTCAAAAGCAGATAAGAAATACTTGAAAACAATTTTTTGGTGGGCGTGAGAAATTGGTCGATAAACTTGAACTGACGTGAGATCGCGTAGATGGAAATACAGAATGTGGAGTTCCGCAACGCAAGTTACTCGAATGAAGTAACAACTAACGAAAAAAAGCAATAAGCTGATCCCTATTTGCGTGGATTAGCTGTAAAAAAGTTTACAAGGATTCTTAATTAAAAACTATTTTATATGTTCCTCCACAATAGGGCCTCTCATACCTGTAGCTAATAAATGGAAGAAATGCTCAACAAGCGATGATGATGATCCTTCTCTGATCCCTCTATTGTCTATAATCTGCCGCCATTTTGAACTTTGACGTATGCATCGCTGACAATGGGAAGTGTTCACAAAGGACAAACGGGTACAACTTTACAAAGCCAGAAATGGAACCCCGAGGCAAAACAAATTAGGTATGTATGTCTATTCATTTGATTAGAAAGGCGACAGTATAGATTTCTGTATGAATACACAACTGGACAAGAGAGTAGATGGAACAAGATTGTGGACAATAAAAATATTCTGCTTCCCCCACCCGCCCTTGGGGGACAAGGACTTCCCCATTAAAGGGACAGTGATACACCCTAAGAATTTTAAA